AGATATCTCAACATGTTGTCCTCTCATACTAATTTTCTTAATCAAATATGCTTGGGGTGGAAGAGTGTTATCACTCTAACCCACTGATCAAACTGTGGTTGTTGCAAAAGAAGATTGGAAAGAATTTATCTAATTGGAACTGGAATGTGGTAGGAGATGTTAACTTGAGAGTTAAGGAGGCTAATAAGGAAGTGCTTGAAATGGAGGCTAGGCTTCAGAACAATCCAGATACCGAATTAAATTTACTGCTGGCTAATGAAAAGTTGATGAATGCTATTTGTATGCAGGAGGAATTCTATGCTCAAAAGGCTGCAAAAACCAGATTCTGTGAAGGGGATAGAAATACTAAGTACTTTCATGTTTGTATCAACTATAGGAGGATATGTAATACCATTCACAAGATTAAAGATCCATTAGCGCATTGGATACTTTCTAACGACTTAATTGCAACAAGTGCCATCCAGTATTTTCAAACTTTATTCACTCAACCTCCTTTCACCAAATTACCAATCTAGCAAGATCTTTTTGATCAGGGATATACAAGAAATCTGAAATTGGATTCTATCCCTGAAGAATTGGAAATTTGGTCAGCCTTGAACTCAATTGACAGCTCCAAAGTTGTTGGACCAGTTGGATTCTCAGCTGATTTCTACAAAAAAGCTTGGAAGATCATCAAGGGTGATGATCATGAGGCAGTACAAAGCTTCTTCAAAGGGATGAATTTGCCTAACTATTTTAACTGGATGAATCAAAGGGATGAATTTGCCTAACTATTTTAACTGCTCTACTATTATTTTAATCCCCAAAATCTATTCCAAGCTCTCTTGGGATCAATTCAGGCCAATCAATCTCACAAATATTTTGTCTAAAATTATTAGCAAAATCATTTCCAATAGATTGCAGCCTCATTTACCTCATCTTATCAGTGAAAATCAATCAGCCTTTGTGTAAGGAAGAAGCATAGTGGAAAATGTTCTCTTGGCACAAGAACTTGTTCTGGACCTGGACAAACAATGTAAAGGAGGGAATCTTATTTTCAAACTTGATATCCAAAAGACATATGATATCATTAATTGGGACTTCATTGTGGAGGTGTTGTCTGCTGTTCTGGACCTGGACAAACAATGTAAAGGAGGGAATCTTATTTTCAAACTTGATATCCAAAAGACATATGATATCATTAATTGGGACTTCATTGTGGAGGTGTTGTCTGCTAGGGGTTTCTCTCAAGCCTTTATTTCTCTCATCCTAAGGTGGCTGTCAAATAATCATCAATCCATTATCATTAATGGGAAGTCTCATGGTTTCTTCACTGCTACTAGAGGAATCAAGCAAGGTGACCCCCCCTTATCCCCTACTATCTTCATACTTGCTTTTGATTACTTATCTAAACTGCTGAATCAACTTATGACCAAAGCTCCTCACTCATTATATAGCCATAGATCTACCATTGAAGTTAACCATTTAGCCTTTGTTGATGATGTTATTATATTTGCAAAAGCAACTAAACCCATAGTCAAATTATTTTTTCAATGCCTGGAGAAATTCCAGGATTGCTTTGGGATGATGTTTCATAAACAGAAATTCCAGGTTGTCTTCAGTAAATGGGTGAAGCCTGAAATCAAACACTAGATTTCAGATTTCACTCGCTTCTGCTCCATCTCTCTACCTCTGAAATACTTAGGTACCTTATTGATTAAAGGGAGGACTAGGCAAGTCCAATTTGATGATATTCTTCTTAAAGTCCAAGATAAACTCAATAGTTGGTCCAATACTTTTGTTTCAAATGGGGGAAGAATTACTCTCCTCAAAAGAATCTTAGCAACTCTCCAATCTTATTTATCTCAGGTTTCTATTATGAAGAAATCCATCCAAACCTCACTTGAAAGAACTTTCAATAGATTTTTATGGGCAGGCCAGAGAAAGCAAGTGCATTGGGTGAGATGGCAAAGTATATGTGGCAGTGCTAGAGCTGGAGATCTGGGAGCTTCCAACATATTACCCAAACTAATTTTTGCAAACTTTGGGTTATGTTTAGAGCACAGAATTCAATTTGGGCAAAATTTCTGAAAAGGAAAATACTTCAAAGATCAGCATCCTTCTATTGTGACCAATAGATTGAGGGATTCTAAAACTTGGAAGAATATGTTGAAGATGAGAACAAAGGCTGAACAACTCTTCATTTGGGAGATTGGGGAAGGTAGACTCAATGGGTGGCTTGATAACTAGACTAGAGAAGGCTTAATCCCTCCTCCAACTGATTCTCAAATCAACTCCACAACACAGGTGGCTGACCTTTGGTCTGCTAATGGATGGAACAAGCAAGCTCTTCAAAATATCTTTCATGATATATTAATTAATACTATAATGAAAAAAACCCTTTGATAGATCCAGGAAGGACAAACTTATTGTGAAGAAGAAGCTTTCCCAGAAATTTTTAGCTTCCATTGCTAATTTATGCTTTCCTCAACAGGAGCCATCTTGGACTAAATGTGTGTGGAACAAGTTTGTTTCTCCTTCCATGACCTTTTTCTCTTGGAAAGTCCTATATGGCTTCATCCCTACTGATGATATTTTAAAATTAAAAGGTTTGAGAGGCCCTTCAAGATGCTGCCTATGTAAATGTGAGGAGGAATCCCTCCCCCACTTATTCTTTAAATGCTATCAAGTTTAGCAGGTTTGGAACACTTTGTTACCTAAACTACTAAATGCCATCCAGCTGTCTTGGTATGTGTTTTATTTAATTTGGAAAGATTGGCAAGACCAACAGCTCCCTTCCATCCCTTGTATCAGGGCTTGGTTTTTTCGGATGGAAAGAAATAAGCTAAAATTTGATGAGGTCCAATGGGATGCCAATACCATTGCTACTCACTATTACAGCTACTTACAAAAATTGCATTGTCATAGGAAACTTCCTGAAATCCTATGAAGCTCCTCAAGTTCCTCCCTTTTTGGTTCAAGGAAATTTCAAACTATCCTTGTTCACTGGAATTGTCCTCCTATGGGTTGGGTCAAAGTCAATACTGATGGTAGCTTCATTTCTCTTAATGCTGGCTTTGGAGGAGTTTTCAGAAATACAAGAGGTGAATGCCTACTATATTTTCAGTATCCTGTCAAAGCTGAAGACCCTCTGGAAGCTGAAGCCCAAGCTGTTTATTGGGCTGTTTTCTTAGCCACAAAGTGCAGTTGGAATCTCTTAATGGTGGAAACTGACTCCATGATCTTATTTAAAATCCTAGAAGGAAGGATTTCTGCCCCTTGGTATCTAATTCAGTGGATCACTGGTATACAAACCTTGAGCTTGAAGTTAAAGATGTCCCTTTCTAATACTTTTAGGGAGGGTAACAAACCTGGCAATTGGCTTGCTAAGGCTGGCCTCCATACTCAGAACACCATCATTGATACTTATACCATTCCTCATTTAGAGTTGTTGTTGAAAGGATATCTTCTTGATCTACCTTTCTTTAGAGTTTTGCCACTTTAACTTTAGGGAAGTGCCTTTCTTGCCTTCCCTTTTGTAATTTAAATAGGAGCCTAGTCTCCTTTTATTAAGATATATATATATATATATATATACATTTATATTCATATCTGTTACATACATCTATATAAAACAGAGAAGGCGAATGTGCTCCTAATCTACAACACATTATATGGAATTGCCTGCTCTCTACTTTGAATCTTGCTGCAGGTTCTCTGGTACTTACCTAATCTATTTTCTGAATGCTGGAGGTTTTCTTTAGCCTGCGGATCATCACTTTACTGAGGAACTCTTCTACTTCAAAGACTGGAGTTTGCTTATTTGTGACTATCTATTATTGCCTTAGACTTGGGCTGCTGTTATTTTTGTACGTCTCGATGATTACTTGGCTGCCCCACCTCAGTTTAACAGGTTGCTATGCAAATTTTTACTGCTCTCATATACTGATATTTGAGATTTGATGCTTATGTCCTTTTTTGGTATACTATTCTTTATTGGTATATCTGTTGTGGGTATACAGTTTTTTTTTGGGTTCTTGACTTTTGTTACCTTTTTCATTACTTTTGCATGGAGTTGTAATGTGGATTGTGGAACCCCTAGGACTTTATTGTATTTTCTTTTGTTTTTAGATGGGTATCATCCCTTCCCCAAGTCTATATCCTTTCTGTTATGAACGTGTAAGGAGCCATGAGCTACTCTTTTAATCACACACACACATATAACCCCTTGCTTGGGGGTGGGAGCCCTAAGCAGCAGGAGTTTACTTTGGATCTCTGTGAGTTGTCTGGCTCACCCGGGATCTCTCTTTTGGTCTTGGTCTTTATCTTGTCAGACTATGGGGTTCATGGCATCTCCTATTGACTGGGAGACTAATGCACAGTGGGGCTTGGGACCACCCCCCAAAAGGAAAAACTACAATGACTCAACGAAGAAAGAAAATGAATGTAAGGTTGCATCTGCCCTTGACGTAGTCATGTGTCCTTATAGGCAATTTTGAAGTGGGGGACTTCTATAGTTTCTTCTTGCAGCAGATAATGGAGAGTTGGTGGAGTGTTAACAACAACCTCAGTCTTCTTAGAATGTGATCCAAGTTGGGCCAACCAGTTTGCAGGCTAAATTCCTTCCCTATAGATGAAAGTGAACTGGATTTATATTCTACTACTAAGATCTTTGATTTTGTTTAGCCAGTATGAGTGATGTCAGGGAGCCCCATCCTCATGATTTAAAAGGGGAATAATTACAGCAGAGTCCACTTCCAGCCAAATCATATTCCAATTAGCCTTAGTGGCAAGATTGATTGCTCAATACACAACAACGAGTTCAGTCTTAGTGGCATCATTAACCAAAATAGGGGTATAGAAATAAAACAGGCACTTACCCAAATGATTTCTGTAAATTTCTCCCACTTTAGCTCCATTTTTTTGAAAGCTTCCATCATCGTTAATCTTCACAGTGGGATGTTTTGGGGTTTTCCAGTAGACTCTGATAACTTTAATAGGTTTAGAATTGATAGGTGGAGTTGGAAATGTTAGGAAATCTTTTTCAGGTGGTCATCTTATGGAGATAAATTAAACAATTTCTAGCAGTTTTCCCAACATTTGGATTAACTTCCTCAAACTTGACCTTATTTCTTTCCATCCAGATGAACCAAGCAATAGTAAAAGGATTAGCAGCATACTTTCTCTTCTGGCAGAACAACCAACACTTGACAAGTCTATCCCAAGTGAACTCTTTCTCATCAATTGTCAACTAATTCAAAAATTGTTTCCAAACTAGTTGAGCAAAATTCCATTCAAAGAATAAGTGATTCAGAGTTTCCTCCTCCTTCTTACATAACCAGCATTTAGAAGGATCCCTCAATCCCTTCAGCTTGAGAATGTCATCTGTAGGGATCAGTTTATGAAATATTCTCGAATAGAGAAAAGAAATAGAAGGGGATAAGAATTTATTCCATATATAATCACCCCAGGGTAATTGCTCCCAACTGAAACTTTTGGAGTATATGGCGTTGGTAAGGCTTTAGTGGGAAGTAGTCTGCCATACTACTTTGTCAGCTGTACTTCTATTAAACTTTATACTTTACTAATACAGTGAGGTTGCAGAAGATTATATAACTTTGCCAGGGACCACTCATCACCATCCCAGCAATCAACCACTTTCAAATCACTATTGTAGATATTGGTAATGGAGGATAACCAGTCTTTGGGACACCAATTGTCAAGCCAAAACTTGATATCACCTTTGCCCAATTCCCAACTATAATTGGTTTCAGCAATATGTCTGATTTTCAGCATTTTCACCCAAATTTTAGAATCACCAATTTTCCTTAGGACCAGTGTGGGGTGCTGATCTTTGCAATACCTACCCGACATGAATTTTGCTCATAGGGAATTTTGGGTTCTAAACATAATCTAGAATTTACAAAAATTAATTTGAAGGAGTTGATCAAGATCCTTAAAGCCAATTCCCCCAGCAATTTGAGGTTTAGCAGCTTTTCTCCAGGATGCCCAATGCATTTGTGTCTTTGACCTGACCACAGAAATTTATTGAATATTCTTTCTAGTTGGGTTTGAGTGCTTTTCTTAATGGTAGTCATTTACAATATATAAGATGGGAAGGTAGTGATAATGCTCTTTAACAAAGTTATTCTTCCCCCATTAGATAGGAAGGCCTGTGTCCACTTATTGAGAAGACTAGAAATTTTGTTCAATACCTCTTCAAATTGAATTTTTTTGGTTCTGCTAGTGATAAGAAGCGAGCCAAGGTACTTAATTAAGAGTTGGGAAGTTGTAAAGCCAGTATATTCAGATGCCCAATGTTTGTGAGTAGAGCAGGCATGTTTATAGAAGACCATTTGACACTTTGCTAGATTGAAGAACATTTTGGAATGAGCTTGGAATTTTTGTAGTGTCTGGAAAACTTATCTGATAGAATTTATGCTGGCTCTGGAGAAGACCACTATGTCATCAGCATATAGTAAATGGGTAATGACAATGTTGGATCTATGATGGTATCTGTTGTGACTCTGATTCAGGAAAGCTTCATCAAACATTCTGGATAAGTAATCAATAGCAGGTATAAAAATGCCGAGTGATAATGGATCCCCTTGCTTTAATCCTCTAGCAACAGTGAAAGAACCCCTCCCTTTCCCATTTATCAAGATGGAGTGTTCATTGTTATGTAGCCATCTCTTAATCAGGTGACAGAATTCAATGTCAAAGCCTCTGGCAAAAAGAACTTCCATTATGAAATCTCAGCTTATGGTATCATAAGCTCTCCTTAAGTCCAAATTATATACCATATTGCCCCCTCTACAAGTTTTGTTCAAATCCTGTAATAGTTCTTGAGCCAGAAGAGTGTTATCAATGATGGACCTACCTTTCACAAAGGTTGTTTGATTGGGTTTAATTATAGAGTCCATGTGAGGTTGTAGCCTATTCACAATGATTTTGCTGATGGATTTACTAATGACAGTTGTCAAACAGATAGGCCAGAAATGGTTCCCATTCTGCTGTATATCAGATTTAGGAATCAGTGCAGTTGTGGAGGAACAAAAGTACTTTAGTAGATTATTGCCTTGGAAGAAGCTTGTTACTGCAGAAATAACATCAGCCTTAATAATCTCCCAGGACTTCTTGTAAAATTCAGCAGTGAAGCTGATTGCATTCCAAATTTCTTTTTCATTGGGGATACCTGTAAGCTTGAGGCCAGTAGTGTAATTCAGTTCAGCAAGGAAGTGTGCCTTCTCAATAGGGGGTCTGAAGTTATGATCCTGATTTAGCAAATCTTTGTAATAACTTATAGGATCATTATCTATATCAGTATTGTAATGTAACCACTGGCCATTGGCATTTTAATAGAATGGATTGTGTTGCACTTTGTTTTATATTTAATATAGCCATGAAAGAATCTAGTGTTTCTATCCCCACCAGTGAAAATAATCATAGCTTCCTTTTGTTTAAGAAAAAATTTCTTGATAATCAATGGCACTAAGAAGGTTGTTCTGAGCAATCATCAGTTTATTTTCCTCCACATTGCCAATATGTTCTCCTTACTCCAAATTTTTTACTTCATCTTCAGCCTCCTGGACTTTGGCATGCACATTTCCAAAAGTTTCCCAGCTCCAACTTCTGAGGGCTTTGGCAATCTTGATTTGCAGTAAACTTAGCTTGACAAAGGGGTCACGGTGGGAAACCCCTTTCCATAGGTCAGCAATGTACTTATTGTAGGAAGGGTGTGCAGCCCACATGTTAAGATATCTAAAAGGGAAGGAGTTATAAATATCAGTTGAAGTAATGTTTATAAGTACAGGTCTATGATCTGAGCCAGCAAGACTAAGATGTGTGACAAAAGTGAGGAGGAAATGGTTAAACCATGCATCATTTACCAACATTCTGTGAAGCCTCTCCAAAATAGCTCCACTTTTCCAAGTGAAAGCTCGCCCCTTGAAACCCAGATCAAAGAGACCAGCCCTGTGGATATTATCACTGAAGGTGTTCATCTTGGCAGGATTTGGGACTCTTCCTCCAGATTTTTCAGAAGTAGAAGTGATACAATTGAAGTCTCCCCCCACCAGCCATGGAGAGTCCACTTGTTGGCTGTTGTTAATCAACCTATTCCATAGCTCCTTTCTAGCATCCTTTGTGCAGCCAACATAAATGAAGGTAGCTTCACCCTTATGTCCATTCATATTGAATGAAAGGTGGACAAATTATGGATGATAAATTAGAATATTTGAGTTGACTTCTCTTATGCAAAATATCCAAATTTTATTGTTAGTGTTCCCAAAATGGGTGAAACCAGCAAGCTTTTTAATCAGATTTTGAGGGTTCTTGTGAATCATTGGTTCAAGGATAACAATACACCACAACCTGTGTTTAAAATTCAGCTATAAAACTCTTTTTTAGGGAAAGAGGGTTAGCCATCCCCCTTATATTCCAGCAAACTAGATTAATCATGTAGTGGAGGATGTGGGGAAGGTTGGAATCAAGATCTGGTTCTTC